GAGCCTTAATACTTGGTAAAACTCCGGATGACGAAGGCAATAGGTGCCTTTGGAATAAAGCCTCGAACCTCTGATTGTCACTTTGAGTCCGACTTTCAGATTCCAGCAGCTGGTCGAGCTTTCTTTTCATGCTTGTTGAGTAATTATTTGTAAGCATGTGTAACACTCTATTCTCATGCTTGAGCCATCTGATCTCTTGTTTAAGACTTGTCACCTCAGCCGTCAATGATTCAACTTGGTGAGTTTGAGCAAGTAGGCGTTGACCCATATCAGAAACGGAGCCAGCACACTAAACACTGAGAGCCAATGAGTCTTGAACATCTGACTCATCAGACTGATTTGAAAGGATTCTGTTATCCTTTGGAGTGAGAAGGTTCCTAGCTACTACTATAGCAGTTGTATTAACCCTCATCACAAAGTTTCTAACTGTAAGAGGACCATTAGAAGATAAGAAGGACGTGCGCCATATATTATCTTGACGCAACTCGTATGTATCCCTCTCGAGACTCAAATCTAAATAAAGATTAAATAGGCAAGCCATTTTCAGAAATGATGAAGGAAAAATGAGGTCAAATAAAATCTCAAAAGTGCAAGAAGGGGAAAATTCTACATGCAGCAGTTTTCCGAGCATACATTTTGAGCACAATTGATGCCTCTTTAAAAAGAAGTGCCAACAGAGCCACTTGTTCAAAAAGGCACCGCTATTCGAATTTCAAAAGCCGGATTTCTTGAATCAAGGTTCCTCAAAATTTCTCACACGCAATATTAGCTTTTTCGGATTACACATGCAGTTTTGTCAAAGATCTTTGACAAAGGTTAAAACGCATAAATCTTAAAACGCGTGAATCTTATTGTTTCAATTACCCAACAGCTGCCGACAATAGTAAGGGAACATCATCATTATTTGCTTGGATCCTTATATATGTTGACCTCCATTCTCCATGGCAAGGAAGACTTGCAAAATGTCTAACTCTTCCTCCTCTTTAAAAATGCATCTTCAACAAAGCATCCCAAAATACTCAGTTTTCTTTCTCTTCGAGAATACCTCTTCAAAACAAGTCACACCAGAGCAAGAGTATCTCATATCATTAGGGTCGAAAGCAAGGGTATCTCATATCATGCTTTCTCCATATCATTTCCTTTGTCCTTGTTCTTATCTGCAAGACAATGAGAAAGAGAGCAATCAGTCGCCACTTGGAATCAAGCTCCTGATCTAGAACTGATTGCCCGAAACCTTTGCCTGGTTGCTTACCTTGCATTGCTATCGAGTACTCATCTTCAACTGTTGATATGATGTTAGCTATTTACACTAAAGCTGCCAAGCATGATCAGTCGCTGAGAAGTGATGTTCTGAATGACCATTCAAATGCCAGGGTTACATTCCACTCCTGCATCAGGATACAAATACTGCAAGAGAAGATGTCACACTTGCATGGGGAAAAACTAGGGAAATACCACTTATGCAAGGGAAACAAATAAGGCAATTGAAAATGATACATTGAAGCTCGTGAAGAATCAATAAGCGTAACAAACATGTGCCGATTCATCTACGATAGAGTCGAAGATCACTTGCCACTTGAAGCTCCTCGTGATCCAATTTCATTCAAGATCAAGCCTTGACGGTCCTTGAAGAAATCACAAGTCTGATTCAAGATCAAGTGTCCACCACCCTTGAATCAAATTTAGCTCTAGATAAATGAAGTAAATACATACTTTTGGAGGAAATCAGAAGACCATTTAGCCCAGTTCAAGAGCAAGTCCGTGGATAGTTAACAACAAGTAAAGCACCTCTTTCGGTAACTCTTCTCACTAAGAAACTGAAGCAGAATGATCAACGATCAGCCTAAATGATTTGAAATCAGGGGAAGATACTCATCAGGGGGATCATCCAAAACAAATCAAGATTTTAACGAGTCAATCGAAGACTTGTGGCCATCCAAGGAATATTGTTGTGAATAATATGTGAATGGCCCACATGAGTGGTTTGTTACTATTTATGCACAGTATTTTTACTATTCATTTGTGGAAAATTTGTAAATGAATAATGTTCTCTTTGCTTATAAAATGAATGAGAGGTGAAGAAGGAGGAGAGATACGAATGAGGAGAGAAGCCAAACGGCTGAGAAGAGAGGAGGAATAGAGAGATAATAAGGAGAGTCATCTTTGTATTTTTATGATTATAGATTATAAATGAAAGCACCACTGCTGCCCCGAAGACGTACTCCAGTTACAATGACTATAGAGGAACCTCGTAAATTTTTGTCTTGTTTAATCCATTGCGCACACACCGTCGATTTTACAACAAAACCAAACTTTTCTAGCAAGTCATAGTTTTATTTCTTTGTGAATTTTGGCACCTTCATTATCATATCTGTCATATTACGGAAGTACCCCATTCGGACCAACCCCAAGTAGATCCGAAATTTGGAAAATAAATAAATAAATAAGCAAACTTGGACAACGGTGTGGATACGCGCATACGATCATTTTCCCCTCCATTATACAAACACACACCCTAACGGCTAGTTTGTAGAACGTTAACCCCCAACGGTCAAAATTTCAAATCCCTATATTTTTCTCAAATTACCCCACCAAATCACACCGATTCCTGCACTCTTCCCTTCTCTCTCCCTCCATTCTTCTTCTCTCCTCAGAGACTTTCTCTCTCCTAAATCCAAAGCCTTCCACATATCTGCTTCTTCATCTTTTGATTCGCTTCAATTGTGAGATCAAATCATTCAAAATCAAAGATGTTGCAAGATATGTGGAATGCTCCGCCTGGTTTCAGACCCACCAAGTCTGCTCCTTCCTCTCCGGCCAAGCCTCTCGGAATTTCGAGGACTCATTCCGTCGGAACTGAGTCATTTCACGTAACTCACAAAGTTCCGGTAGGCGACACTCCTTATGTCAGAGCCAAGAATGTTCAGGTGAATAAATCCTCTGGGCCCTTTACAAAATTTGGTTCTCAAAACTTGAATTTCCGGTTTTGAGTTTTGGGTCGTGTTTTGATTGATGGGTTTTCTGGTTTTTCAATTTTGAAATTTGAATAGCTGGTGGAGAAGGATCCGGAGAAGGCAATCCCGCTGTTTTGGGCAGCCATTAATTCTGGGGACAGAGTGGATAGTGCTTTGAAGGACATGGCGATTGTGATGAAGCAACAGAGCCGGGCAGAAGAAGCGATTGAGGCCATCAAGTCGTTGAGACACCGGTGTTCGGATCAAGCTCAGGAGTCTCTTGACAACATTCTTCTGGATCTTTACAAGGTACTTTTTTTTTTTTTTTTTTTTTTTGCGAAAAGCCCCGAATAAAATTTCATTAAGTTTTTTAATCTTTACAATTTACTGATAATTTGATTGACTTAATTTTTATAGAGATGTGGGAGATTGGATGACCAAATATCACTTTTGAGGCACAAGTTGTACTTGATTCAAAAAGGGATGGCTTTCAACGGAAAGCGCACGAAAACTGCCAGATCTCAGGGGAAGAAATTCCAGGTCTCTGTGGAACAAGAAGCCACTAGATTACTGGTGAGATTACAATCCAAAACCAAAACCAAGTATTTGTTTTAATTCAACTTCGAAATTACTGGAAGATAGTACTAAATAACTTTATGTGTGTCTCAGGGGAACTTGGGTTGGGCTTTGATGCAGCAGAACAACTACATTGAAGCAGAAGATGCTTATCGCCGAGCACTGACAATTGCGCCGGATAACAACAAGATGTGCAACCTCGGAATCTGCCTAATGAAGCAAGGAAGAATTTCTGAGGCTAAAGAGAATCTCCGTCGTGTTAAGCCGGCAGTTGTGGATGGTCCAAGAGGGACAGATTCCCATCTCAAGGCCTATGAGAGGGCTCAGCAGATGCTCAAAGATCTTGAGTCTGAGATGATGAACAAAGGCGGGGATCGCGTCGAGCAGAGCAGGCTTTTCGATGCCTTTTTGGGTTCTTCATCGATTTGGCAGCCTCAGCCTTGCAGAGACCACCACCACACAAGTTTGCCAACAACAGGTTCTGTGAAATCTCAGCCCGATGAGTTTGCTGATGAGAATATCAACTCCAACTTTTTCGCAAACCCGAAGATGGGATTTCCTCAGCATAAAATTATCAATCAAGTCCCTCAACCAAACTCACTTAATGTTGCTGCAAAGCCTTACTTCTCAAAGTCCATTTCGGCTGCCCCAACCGCCACTCAATTTGCTGAGACGCTTAAGAGGACAAGGTCCGGGAATGCTGCGACTTCAATGAGAGTGACCGAGGCGATTGAGATCCCCAAACCTGTTGTGGATTTGGTCGTACCAGAGAACAAGACCAGAAGAAGGCTCTCTCTTGAAGAAACAGGGACTGAGTTGACAGGATTGTTGCCCGACAACAAGGACTTCGAAGAGGCTATAATCGCCGCGGTCATTGACCCGACAAATGAGGCTGGGAAGGCGGTTGGAATCAGCAACTGTTCCGGGATGTTTCCGAAGAAGGTTGAGAAGAGGCTCAGGGTTTTTCAGGATATTACACTGTCTCTAAGTCCAAGGGCCTAAACTAACAATAATTGCTTACCTTAATTACCTTAATTCGTCTAATCCGAGGAGTTAAATAGTGTTCTTTTCGTCTGGAGATGAACTTGTTCTCCCCTTTAATAATCCACTCAGCAGAAGCTGATTACTCTATGTATTCATATAAGCCAAGTCTTTCAACAGAATAACAAAGGCTCATTTTCTTCAAATCTCAACCATTTTTATTTAAGTTTTCGTACTTCCCGTTGCTATTTTTCCTTAAAAACTCACCACAACGCTTATTTCTATGCAACAATTGTCACACATTGCTTACAAAATCAAGTTATGGAGACTTTTTGGCTCCTGTAGTAGTACATTGTGATGCCGAATTCATGGAGGCTTGGGGCCAGCACTCCGGGATCCTTTCTTAGACAAACGCGGTTGGCCTTTCCGGCCACGGGGGTGCGTAGTTAGCCTTGTAAAGGATTTAAGGGATTTTTTGGAAATATATAATGAGTTTGAGCAATAACACCAATTAATTACAGTGTGGAACATAATACATACACGCCTTGGTGACCAAGATTCGGGTTCCCAGTTTTTGTAGTTTCCACTCTAAATAGTCGTGTAATGAGAAAGATAGAAACAGGTAAGTGGCTGCCCTAAATGAGGCTCGTCATGTTTTTGATGAAACTTTCGCATTTATCGTACACCAATGCCGCCACTACTGCAGCAGCAATTGTAAGAGTAAGCACCACTTTCGGACGCTGTGAAGGGGGATTAAAGCCTAATTCTGATAGCTTCTTGTGTGATACTGCATAATCTCTGAAGAATGCATCATTATCCTGCACATATACATGAACATGGTCAAATTATCAACTATCACAGACTAGTCTCTACATATTCTACGAATTTCACACCGCTACATAAGATCTCGTAGAGACTTCCAAACCAAAATTCATCTTATTTACCCTTGCATATAGCTCAACATAGCGACGGAACACAGGATCCTCCACCAAAGCCTTGTCTGTGGGAAGTTGTAAGAGTCCCTCCGTTTCCCCTTTCAATAGGTCCCTGATCACAGAGTTATACGTATCCACGTACGGTTTTATTCAAATCAGATGAACATAGATAACTCCATTCTGCATATAAAAGTAGATAAACCTTTTCAGGAATGTCTTACACGAAGTATGAGTTGTCGAATTTTGAAGGCTCCTTTGTCCAGGGGCCTTGAAAGCCAGATCTCTTATGTTCCTTTCCCTACATAACCAAAAGAAAAAGATGAATTCTAATTCTTAACACTGTGTAGATTAAAATGAATAACATATTCTACTTTTACAACGGATGGAGAGAAACTTACCAGTGTATGGCCTCCAGATAATACCACAATGTCCTTGTCAGACAGACCCATCCGATAGAAAACTTCCCTTAAATGTGATGCACCTATTAACAAAATCAAACAAGTGCAGATTTCAAAACCGTTTTACGTTACAAAACTGGATGAACATGGTCAATGACATACCAAGTTTGGCATCTGGAAGGCGGCCTTCGGGTGGAGATTGATTCGAATCCTGATTCAGAGGTAAAGAAAGGTATTAAAAAGAATGAGTTGGGTAGGTGATGCGAAACTTCTCCATGCACATACCTTTCTACCCGGAACAAAGTCAATGGATGGACCTCCGGTGATCTCCACTGCAACAACCCCAGCAAGCTGTAAGACAAGCCTTTAGCTGTTTAGCTGTTAAAAGCACTTCCATAGAAAGCCCCTTAAACCAATAAAAACATTTGAAAGTAAAAACCTGGTAGAGATCAGCATATGTGATTTTTGGGTGTTTGGCCTTTACTTGTTCTGCAAGTCACAGCAGAATCAGAAACAAATTAGAGAACTTAATTGAGAGAAGTGAGATCAAGTGTATGAAATCGAAAGCTTACCACATAACTCAACTGCAGTTTCCAATCCCTTATTTCCACTGTGACTTAACTCTTCCTTGTTCCTGATTGAGCCATTAGGTCCTCCAGGTATTCTCGTCTTTAGTCTAGCATCGTACGTTGCAGCGTCATGCCACCTATCAAAACACAGCAGTTATACGCGTATCAGAAGTTCGGTAACCTGAAATAGCTATCTTTCGTGTTTGGTTGCTGAGAAAATGCTAGAGTGATGGGAACAAGATAACAAATTCGAATGGCCATTTCTTTCTTCACCAGTTTTCTCGAGCAATCAAAGGAAAGTTAATGGAGGAATCAGGTTGAAGGAAAAATGGAGGATGAACAATTACGCTATACGAAGCATTATAGGAGCGCAGTTCTTGCTGTAGATAAGAGCACGAAGGTCTCGGCGAGCCTTCTCAATTTCCTTGAGGTACTCTTCGTTTACTACTGGCGCAGCCATGAGAGCGTGGAAACGTAAACTGCTAACTTTAGTTGCAATTTACAAGGAAGATTTTGCTGCAGGCTATATATGGCGTAGAAGAAGAATCAGAATAAAGGGAAATGATTGACAGGATTGTTTCCCAGGGAAACAAGAAAAGCATTACTTCTTTCTCATGCTATTCATATTTCTTCGTCAAGTTACGAAAAGCAAGAAATGAGATCAAGAACATTGGAAACATGTCAATCATAAGCGCAAGTCGTGAATTTTAGAACTTATTACAGCAAAGTTCAACTCCCCCTTACAACAAGTATTATTATGTTCGCTGAATCGAAGATACTTCACTGACTTCTCATGATGATATTATTACAAAGACAACATTTTCACTTGGCATTTTTACGAACTTCGTATAAGTAACTCAGGATCACCACCGCCGCAGTAACAGCAACTCCCACTGCGCTTTGTGCCAATATGGTACTGGTCTTTGCAGCTTCCTTCACACAAGAAGATGGAGTGAATCCTAGCTCTGATAGTTTCTTGTGTGACGCTGCGTAGTCTTTGAAAAATGCATCCTCATCCTGCAAAGGGATTGAGCAGAAAGGCAAAGCTTTATTTTGTTGATCAACATTTCATCGAAGCTCTCTTAAATTTACCAGAAATTTCTAATTTACCACAGATGAACGGAATTAATTACCTTTGCATAAAGTTCAACATAGCGGCGGAACTCAGGATCGTCCAGCAAAGCCTTGTCTGTGGGAAGTTTCAACAGCCCCTCTGATTCCCCTTTCAGTAGTTCACTGATCAAGATTCAGGTACAACAACATTAATAGTCAATATGTACTGCACGATCAAACGAAAGTAAACTAAAGTAATAGAAGTTTTAAATTTTAAGGTATAATATTAATTACTTACGTAAAGTATGAATTATCGAACTTCAAAGGCTCACTAGTCCAAGGGCCTTCAAAGCCTGACCTTTCTGGATGTGCTCTACCCTACAGAATCAAAGTAGTATTTGTTATACGTATACTATTATATATAATGGATGCAAACTTTACACATTGTCGAGTCCATGGAAAAAGCTACCAGTGTATGAGCTCCAGACAGTGCCACAATGTCCTTATCAGACAGACCCATGCGGTAAAAGATGTCCTTCAAGTGCGATGCACCTGCAGCAAAATTGAAAAACCAAACCTCACAACACTAAAAACAACCTGCGAAAGAAGAAACGTTTTATAGGCATTGGCTGCATACCTTTTTTGGCATCTGGAAGCCGCCCTTCTTCAGGAGACTCCAATGAATCCTGATTCAGCGATAAAAATGAAAGTCAACAACTGCCGTCAACATATTTAATAAATATGCTGTTAACAACTGCCATGAAGTCGTGAACACACCTTTCTGCCAGGAACAAACTCAATAGTAGGGCCTCCAGTGACCTCGACAGCGACAACCCCAGCAAGCTAGGATCATAAAACATCGAATTATGAGTTACTCTTAAATCAGATTCTTATACAGAATTAGGCACTTGCTCGTCCAATATGTACAGAAAAAGTAAAAGCCCCATCCAGTAAATGTAATCTAAATGAATGCATCAGCTTATTTCTATCTATCTTCTTTGCCTCACAAGTGCAAACTAAAGCCAATGATTCGCAATGAACAGGGAGAGATTCAAAACAAAATTCACCTGGTAAAGGTCCGCATACGTGATTTTTGAATATTTGGCTTTCACTTCCTCTGGCATCAAAACAGAACAACAAAAAACGTCAGGGTGAAAATTCTAACTGTTTGAAATCTACCATCAAACTTCCGGAGACCGAAAAGTTTCCAATTTCAGACATTCAAACAGTTGAGCAACTCAAAATTGGCCTTAACTCTAAGAAACAACAAAAATCATAATCCAACAGTCTATTGATTACTTAAAAGTTTCAGAAAAACTCTCACCGCAGAAATTAACAGCAATTTTCAGACCGCTATTCGCACCGTGGCCTAACTCATGCTCGTTCCTGATCGAGCCATTAGCTCCTCCTGTTTTCGTTTCGGCGTTGTATGTTCCAGCATCATGCCACCTGCATCAACTGATTGTATTTAACTTCGGAGTAGCAATATTAATAAAGATTAGTAAATAAAACTTCTCTTTCAATATTTCAGTAGCAGAAAATGCACACTCCATAGCTAAGGCTCTGTTTGGTCAAACAGAAAATTCTAAAAAATAACTGAAGAATTGATACTTATACAGAAATTTAAAACTGCACATCACTATATCATAAACGAATTTCATTTTCCTTCTTTCTCCCTAGATTTTCTCGGCAACCAAACAGACCACTACAGTGACAAATGAAACGAACAAGACGAAAGCGAGAAACGGAGCGCTTACGCCAAACGAAGCATGATCGGAGCGCAGTTCCTGTAGGCGATGAGCGCGCGAAGGTCGCGGCGAGCCTTCTCGACTTCCTTGAGGTACTGCGCGTCTACCACCACTCCTCCCGCCATTGGAGAGCGTCGCGATCACCGTACGCAACAGAATTACGAAATCGCAGACTCTGCGAAACGAAATGGAAGCCAAGGAAATGAAACGAAGGATGGAAGGGAACGATTGGTTCGCTTTGCTTTGGCTGTGTCCGTGTGTGCGGATATTGGATTAGCGGGAGAGAAGCCTGAGCGTTTTATTTTTTTTTATCCAATAGAAAAAATAAAAGTCTATTATTTTTACATTTTTTAATTAGTGAAGTTGTTGAAAGGGCAGCGCGATGAGAGCGCGTGGATAGGACTGCTGGCCTAGAGGAGAGACAAAGACTAAAGTGTAAGCGTTGGGGTTGGAAAATGTGAGGGCGCGTGGGACTGGATGCTTCCTTATCCTTCTTGGGGTTCGGATCATTCGCTGCCGTCGTGGAAACGTATTAACGAACTATTTGATTAGTCAACCGAAGGCGTGAGAGAGGGAGGGAACGGGACGATAGCCGTTAAGTTGGGCCCAAAGTTTTGGTCTGGCCCAGTAGGGCCCAAAAGGCCTTCGGAACCTTTGATTGTCTTGCATTTATTTTTACTGTGCATTAGACAAAGGATGTGAACAAACGTCCTTCAAATTTTAGTTCAACAATATTCAATATTGTAACACGATCAAGCTGAGAGAATTTTGGCATGGGTGCCATGTCGTTGGACACTTAGGGTTATTCAATAAGAAAATGTCACAGTTTCACAAATGAGTCTAGGGCACACGGTATTTGTGATAGAGATTACGACTATAGACTAACAAGCTCAGTACTTTACCGAACTTTGTGTGACAACACAATATTATCTTATCTTACTGGGCAACAAGCCATTAAAGCCGGTTAATGTGGGCCTTCATCTTTTATAAAAGAAATCTTAGAGCTTCTTCGTCTTGCCCATAAATAAAATTTGAGGATCCACCACTACTCTCGTGTATACGTACTTGAGATTTTCTCAATGGTTTTGGCATGGGTAATGCATCAAGTGCTTATAGAAGCCATTCTCTACTACTTTATATCTTTGTGTTGACTTGTGGTTGATTCTCAAGTACATGGTTTAGACATGGTACCACACTACTAGTACAAGTGAGTTCGTACAAATTTTTCTGCCGTTGGTCTGCATATATCTAGTTTCAAATTCGATACCAAACAAAACCCACCAAGTTTAAGCCCTGATCTGCGAACTGAGATCCATCAAACTGGAATTTGCGGATTGAGCAATTTAGATCTTTTAATTTAATTCATGGGGTCTCTATTAGTCTATCTCGTTGGTCCGCCTCACACATAATCATTATTTTCAATGCTCAAATATCTTTCTTTTGAACAATTTAGACTGCTGAATTCGTCAACTTTGGTATGCTTGCTTAATTATTTTCTAGTAAAAAGGATCAGGGTAAAATGCGATTTAACCCCCTAAACTATTACCCCAATTGAAATTGACCCCTTGAACTATTTAAAATAAGCCAATTAACCCCTTGTCTCAGTTCATCATTCCATCAAATTCAAAGGTAAATTAGTTACTTCATCATCAATTCTTACTTGTTAATGATAACCAACAATAAAATTATAACATATGGACACAAAATAATGTGTAAAACATATAACATAATAAGAAAACATAAAAAAATCGAAAGTTTACATAACGGACAATTTTTCATTGTCATTACACATTATTTTGTGTCCATATGTCATAAATTTATTAGCGGTTATAGTTAGACAAGTAAATATTAATGATGGAAAGACTAATTTGACCTTCAATCTTACAAAATAGTAGATGGAATCTGCTGACAAATGGTTAATTGACTAATTTCAAATAGTTCATGAGGTTAATTTACCAAAAAATTAATTGAAGGAGTCAATTTCAATTGAAGTAATAGCTCAACGGATCAAATAGCAGTTTACCAGAGGATCACGAAGATGCATAATTACATTGCATCTAAGAGTCAGAGAAATCAGCTTTGGAAAGTAAAGTCTATAAAGTAAAGCCCCATTATACAAACCTATGTTTTTGTTCACTACAAAGCCCCACATGCAAGATATGCAATAACACATTGCTGAACCACTTAAAATAAGTCATTGAAATTGATTTTAAAAAGCGTAAATCTGCTTCGATCAACGCATTATTGTTTATGTACACAAATTATACTGTGACTAATAATTTTTTATGAATTTAACCTAACTCACTATCTGGCAATCGGTTTTCCTTTCCCAAAAAGAAACAAAGAGAGATAGAATACAAAATTGAACTCTCAAAGTTTGATACCCATCAGGAATCTGGTATTCGTATCAAACAAAACATTTGTTTAGATCATATGGTATTAGAATATACTTAACGGTGTAATTCTTTATTCTGGCAAGAATATTGTTGTCCCTTCATTACTAATTTATTTACTTTTGATCGGTTAAAAATTATTAAATCGATTTGATTTGTTATGTTTGACTGCTGTTGTATCATTTCATGTTTCACCAAAGATTAGGGTTTGATTGAACCCTCAAAAAGCTCGCGGTCGTCTTTCGGTATCACTCTTCATGTAATAGGACATATTACGAGCGAAATTAAGAGAAAATTTTTAGCTTAGGCATTCATATAAAGGCACCAAACACAAAGAGGTGGAAACGGATAGTGAGTGATATAAAATAAGGTGTTTTGTGTGCGCGATTAGACAATCACTTGATGCAGTTATTCGCAATAAATATTCAAAAATAGAGAGGAGAAAAAACCTTATTTTGTATACCCAAATCCGTCAGCGTACTCTCAACATCAGTGAGCAAACATAGAACGGAAAGGAAAGGGAGTTTAACTTTATCTGCAATGTGTCACAATCTCAAACGGACATCATATCCTTAAATTCTTTGGGTATAAAATCTCATATTAATTCGGCTCAATATTTCAAAAGTCGAAACTAAAAATAGTAGATCAAACGTGAACAGACCAGTTGACCAACATATTATATTGTCAAGACTAATTTGTAATAAGCCCGTCTAGTAAAAAGAAATGGCGGGAAGTAAATTTTCAGACTTTTTTTCTTTCTACTTTTATTCCTATGCTTATTTTTAAATTTTGAATTAAATAAACCAAAAGAAATTAAAAGACAAATGAACACAAATGCGTCGAAGGAGAAAATGCATATGCGAAAATCATTTTGAAATATGAGATGGTACGGTGAATTAAACTTTGAATTTGTTAGTGCTTCAGTCATCAGTTCTAATTACAATGGCAACCCCAAGAACATAAACGGTGGTAAAAATAACAACAATAAAAAGCTTTTGTACATCTCAAACCTTTGGAAGTTTGGATGCTGACTGTTGGAGTTCCAGATACTGACAGTGATGAACCAGTGTAAATCCAGACACATGGTGAGGGCGTTTTAGTCACTAAATTCAAATATAAACAATATACCCACTGGCTCTCCGTCGAAAGGCTCAGTGGCCCTGCTCCAGCTCGATGCCCGTGTCCTTTGTTCCTCTACCACATCCTAGATAACTCCCAAACGCCATCTCTACTCTCTAGAGAGAGAAACAACCATCACAGAGGAGAGAGAGACTCAGAGTCTCAGAGACACAAACACACAGAGATCAAAAGCTTCAGAGTTTTCAGATCAAATCCAAGTTTGCAAATGTAACTTTTCCAACCCAGAAAACCATCCGAGAAGTTAGTTAGCAGCTGCTAAAACACTGTAATTTTTGGAGGTCGGTTCAATTGCGGGGAAAAAAAGCACTTTTGAGTTCAGACAGCCTACCATTGATGGAGACATAGCAAGCTTCATCAGCAGCCGGAAGAACCCATCTTTTTTTTGTTCCCAAAAAGCCCTTCTTCTGAATTTTCTGTCTTTTTTTCTCTGCCGTTTTTAGCAGCAATCGAGCTGATCAGGAGCAAAAATGGGGTGCTGCTATTCGAGGGTAGAACGGGAAGAAATGGTGTCGAGATGCAGATCGAGAAAGCGGTACATGAAGCAGCTGGTGAAAGCACGGCAAGCTTGGTCGGCGGCTCACACAATGTACCTCCGCTCTCTCCGCAGCACCGGTTCTGCTCTGCTCCAGTTTTCAAATGCCGAAACTACCCTCCACCACCACCTCAACCACAACCACCACAACAATAGTTACCGCTCAGCGCCGCCGCCACCGCCGCTACAAACCCCGCCTACCCCACAACCACCGCCACCGCCACCTCCACTCAGCTCAAGCTCCGACTCTTGGACAACATCCACCACGCCCTCAACAGCTCTTCCACCTCCTCCTCCTCCTCCGCCGCCGCCGTCGTCCACCTGGGATTTCTGGGACCCATTTGTGGCTTCCTCTTCGAGGGCAGTAACGGAAGAAGGGTGGGAGGCTACGACCACCGCCTCCGACGCGGTGGTCACCGTCACGGCGGCGAGCACGGCGCCTCCACCGTCTGTGGTGAGTGAGTTTTCCAAAGAGAGCGGCACGACGAGTGAGCTGGCGATGGTAGTGTCGAGAAATGCTAAGGATCTGGTTGAGATTATAAAGGAGCTGGATGAGTATTTCCTCAAGGCGGCTGATGGCGGCGGGCTTCTCTCATTGCTGTTGGAAGTTCCCAGATTCTCTTCTTCTCAGACCAAAGGAGGTAAATAATTTGATTTTTACTGTTGTTTGGACGGTAAAGTTTTGATATTTTCACTTTTTTTTGGTTTACTTTTATTTAGCTTGCTTGATTGGTAAGAAATTTGAGGAAAAAAATGGGAGGAAGGAGAACATTTACTGTTGAGAACTATTCTTGTACCCAAAAAAGTCATCATGCACTACTCGAATTGCATTTTGCTCTATCATGTTTTTCATAAATAATGCCAGCAGAACAAACCATTTCCGGAGTGTCAATAACAATTTCCTATTCTTCGTATGTTTATAATCACGAGTGTAATTTGAAACCATCGCTACAGAATAGCCACCATGCACCAGTCGAAGAGCAATTTCTCCATTTTGTTTTTATCAACGACAACTGAAGGGCGACATTTTGGAGTGCCAATAACATTCCCTTTACACTTTGTGCGTTTTAATGCAATAGACGGATTTTCTTTGCAGGTAAAGTTTATGATCATGGGTGTAATTTGAGTCCGTCGCTGTGGACATGGGGAAGTTCAAGTCAAAAATCTGGAGTATTCGGAAAAATGGGTTGTGACGAGATGGTGCTTAGTCAAGTAGGCAGTGGGGTTGGAGATGAAGGTGTGGTGAGTAGCAGCCATTGTTCTACTGTGGAGAGACTTTATGCATGGGAAAAGAAACTATACCAGGAGGTCAAGGTAAACTGTTGGTTACCATGTCTTTTGTGGGCTCTTAGTTGAGCTTTTTTGTCCATGAAACATTCTACCCTTTTTACTTTAGGGTCCCAGAGTAATGCTAGAGTTGCCAACTTATTAAACCAACTTTTGGTTTTGGATACCAATGTATGTGGCAGTGTTTCGTATGTCTGGGCCGACGGTGGACCTTATTTATTCACAAAAATTAAGAAATTGTCACATCAGTTGGTGTCCAAAAGTTGGTGTCTCTGGCATTATTTCCCAAGTACAACTTTTGAATTTTTGGGGTTTTAAATTTTTTCAATGAGATTATGCACTGACATTTGATACCGCCACAATGTCATCACCGTTTAATGGAAGTCCTTCTTTGGGCCCAAGAATAACATACGAACGTTTGGGAATTTGAAGTTATACAATGACATCATGCACATCCATGAGTTTTTTAATTTATTTTGGATGTGTTTTTCTGGTGTGGTTTTAGGATGCAGAGACACTAAAGGTAGAGCATGAGAAGCGGGTGTCAACACTGAAGAAGCTAGAGATGAAGAGGGGAGACTATGTGAAGACAGAGAAGACGAAGAAAGAGGTGGAGAAGTTGGAGTCACAAATGATGGTTTCTTCACAGGCCATTGACACAACTTCTGCTGAAATCATCAACCTTCGGGAGACTGAGCTCTACCCTCAACTCATTGAGCTTGTCAATGGGTTAGTCTTTCACTTTGCCTATATTTTCATTGCTGCCATGCATTTTCTTTTCATTCCTATCTTACTTTGAACCAAAAAAAAAACAGTATCTTATTCTTTTCTGTTACCTTTTTTTTTCCGGTAAATATCATTTCCGAATGAAAGTGAAAAGATCTTGAATATATGGCTATTTTCTTTTTACTGCTTTTTATTTGTTGTTTTTGTGTCCTTTGTTTGCTTTTCTTTTGAACAATTTACTGATTTGTAAAGTGCCATGCAAACTTTTGTTGAGTAGCTATGGTTGCAGACGTTATGGTTCTTTTCCTCGTAAGAAACTACTCATCTAATATCATGTGGTGTGAAGTTGACAATCTGGATGAAATGATCTGTTTGTTTGAGTTTTGAAAGTGTATTATCATACACCAGTTCCGAAATGAATCAATTTACAGTTGACGGAATATATTTGCTTTACAGATTGATGTGCATGTGGAGAAGCATGTACGAGTGCCACCAGGTCCAAAAGCATATTGTTCAGCAGCTCAAATACCTCAACACCATACCATCTACCGAACCCACGTCTGAGATTCACCGGCAAGCAACACTGCAGCTCGAGCTTCAAGTCCAGCAGTGGCACCTATCATTTTGCAGCCTGGTCAAGGCTCAGTGTGATTATATCCAGTCTCTCACAGGATGGCTCCGTCTTAGCCTTTTCCAGTTTCGGAGACATCCAATAGCAAAGACAAGTCAAGAATCAAGAATTTACACGCTTTGCGAAGAATGGCACCATGCAATTGACCGGATTCCGGACAAAGTAGCATCAGAAGGAATCAAGAGCTTTTTAACCGTAGTGCATGCTATTGTAGTTCAACAAGCAGACGAATACAAGCAAAAACGGAAGTCAGAATCTACTTTTAAAGAGCTTGAGAAGAAGGCAACTGCACTTAGATCGCTGGAGTCCAAGTATGGCCCATACTCGATGCCTGACTCCTCAAGCAATGCTAAAAAGAACCCAGTTGCTGAGAAGCGAGCAAAGGTAGAGGTCATTAGGGCAAAAGCCGAAGAAGAGAAGAGCAAGCATGAAAAGTTAGTGAGTGTGACAAGGACCATGACAATAAATAACTTGCAGATGGGGTTTCCACATGTCTTTGAGGCAATGGTCGGGTTTTCAAGTGTGTGTATGCAGGCTTTCGAGCAACTATATAACCAAGCGAAAAGTGCTAATGAGGAGCTTGACGTTAAGAGGTTACTACCTTGATGAAAAAAAATTCAAATTCAGGAGGATTGGCAACATGGTAATCAGTTCTCTCTGTATATCGCGCTTCAGTAAGCTTGATGTTAAATGACAACTACGGGAAATGACTCAACTTCAAGAGGAATGACAGCAGTGAAATCAGTTTTCATGTATAGATAGACGCACATCCTTTCAGTAACCGATAACCGTAGCGGAGGAGACTAGCAGTGGCAGGATTCCCCCTTTCGAAGATAAACTTGACAGTTTACGCAGATTGGGAAAAGAATGCATACAGAAGAGGTTGAGTATTCGGAATGCAAAAGAGAAAGGAGGATTCTAGTTAGTTTTCTACTCCATATCTTTGTTCTGTTTTGTCGCGGGAAGAGAGTTCGGAATGTTTTGTTTAGCTTGATAGTTTCCTTTTTCTTCTTTTAGGTTGACTGTTTAGTTTAGTTTAATTATTCTTAATGAAGGTGTTTTTTGGTTTGTTTACCAGTTTGTATGTTCGAATTTCTATGACAATTTTTATGAACCACAAACTTCGGGTTCGGAGTTAACCGATTTTGAACAAAACAGAACTTCGACGAAATAGGCTTAAAATCAAGCTGCCGGAATTGTATATACACAAACCAATATTCACATAATACTACCAGATTAGATAACATAACATTCAGAATTACAAAAATTTAATGCCTATTTTCTACGAACTAGTTCACAGGAACTAGTCAATCTAAAATAACATTATACTTCTCAAGCCCTCACTATGTTTTACCATTCTTCTATGTCATCATCCGAAATTTCGCTCTCTTCATCATCCATACTCATCTTTTCGGTATCGCCTTCTTCCTTGTACCCTTGCCCTGCCCTAAATCCAAGCCATTTCAACACAGGTGTGTACTCGGTAGCTATAACTGTCAAATCGGAGGCACCGCACATTCCATTATATGCATCCAATCTCCGTTTCACCATCTCCTTCTGCGATGATACAATCACAAAGACGAGTTACAATGACGGAGAAATATGGCTGTTTATGCCGACACAGTTACTCTTACTTGGTTGGATATTATTCATAACCATGGAAATCATCTCCAGATGGTACTAGCTATCAATATCATCTATTTCATTAAGTTCATAAATTCAACAAAAAGCTGCAGCATGCAACAGAAAACGAAGCAATATCAATTTTAAAACCAACCTTGTTAAGCATTGATGATTGCTCAACCTGCCAGAGCTTTGGCCGGCGAACGGCATGCCACCTGCGTACTTGCAACAATTGGTGATATTATCTAAATTGACATGAGTACTTGCTCACCACAGTATAACTAACTCAAGCATAAGGAGAATACCTGGAAGGCGATGGATGAAAATTTCCAAAGAGCACACCACGGACAGCAACTGAAGCACCAGATGACTGTAAAACATTATCTGCCTCATACTGTCTACTTCGCATTCCATGGAAAGTAGCAAGAAGCAAGTCAGCATCACTTAAGTATGAAGCAATTGTCCATGCATCATCTATTGCCTCCTCGCTTAGGAAATCTAGAACTGCAACAAATTTGTGTCCAACAGTTGGAAATCAGCAACAGTATAAAAAAAGGTCACCATTTTCACAAAGAAAGACAATGCAATTTGATCTTTGCATCCATGTTTGGTTGTGTGCATGTGTTTTGCATCTGTATATAAGAAAGACATAGTACTGGTGATTACAATCAGGAAAGGACAAGTTATAGGTAAAAAAAGGTCACCATTTTCATGAAGAAAATCGGCAATAGGTCTAGCTTGTCCGTGTGCTTGACAAAGAATCTTTTCTGGAGCATCCATTTTTAGTGGTAGTCTAGACAATCCTTCCCGCACATGAAATGCATCTCCGTCTACAAAACAAGAACGTGGGCTCAGATGTTAACAACTCAAGCAAAATTAAACCCTCCCAGCTGCCAAACTCTGCGTGTGTGTGTGTGTGTGTGTGTGTGCAAACTGCAAGGGCAGACTTCCACACTTCAACAATTCTATATATGTTTGTGTGTGTGTGTGCACGTACAGGATTAAGTTGCTCTGCAACTATCTAGAGAGATTCCGGAGTTTATAAATTGGAAAGACATCAACATGCATGAACCAGAAAATTTCATAAGAATTCGACGTGATCATGGAGTGCCGGCTGTCGACTACCTGACGCCCTCCCCCTCCTCCTTTATCCGGGCTTGGGACCGGCAATGTAAGATAAACTTACACGGCGGAGTTGCATGAACCAGAAAATTGAATAAAATAAAAGGTAAAAGCTACATATTACTTTCACCAGAACATACCCAATGTCATGACATTTTCAGTCTCTCTTTTATTATGCAGAAACTTCCCAAGTGCATGGAATAGAGAAAGTGTATCATCTCTGCCAAACTGGAAGGAAAACCCGCTGTCCAAAGCATTTACCTCATCTGGCTTCTCCTTAGCATGCCTGGGCGCAGGACTCAATGAAGACAACAAATTCCTCGGAGTTGGTTTCAGAAAGAAGAATTGTAATGATGTAATTGCATGTCGGATGTCACCTCCACTTGCTTTTGCTATTAGATTGACCTGTTCAGCAGTCACAGTACACTGCTCTTCTCTGCATATTCTAGAAAGTACTTTCTTAACGGAATTATCTGTTATAGGATTGAAGGAGACCTGAAAATTTACATAACCAGTTCACAAATAAGCATTCAGTAATAACCTTGAATAAAAAAATATAAAGAGAAAATATCCAAGAAAGTAACCTTACAAGCCCCAACACTTTCAAGAAACGATGGAATTTCTTCTAAGTATCCAGTGGTGTGATCAGCTGAATCAGCTTTACCATAGTCAGTGACCAATATAGCAGTTGGTATCTGAGTAGATTTCACAAGAAGATGCAAGCAGTTTTGAAGTCTTCCAAAGGCAGCTTTACCATTTGTCACCGGAAGGTCATCAATTAAGAGTATAAACGAAGATTTTGAACCCTCATTAAGGGATGATGGGATCAATCCATACTTCCTTATTCTCTCCACAAAATTTTCAAATTCATCCAACTTTGACATGTAGCGTATTCCTTGTAACAGATCGGTATATGTCAGTAGCAGCATAGTCTTCATTAGAATACTTCAAATTGAAATCACTTATGGACAACTATAATGTGCTGTAATTTGAAGCCAAGTTCTACATCATGCCTTATTTTTCAATCCCTTTTTCTACTCTTTTTTCTTTTTTCAAATTATACTCATAGTAAAATTGAAAGTTACAAGATATACATTTCAACTTGGAGAATATTAAACTGTAAATTCATGATTATTTTAACCTCCACTTAATTTACAAACCTTCAACTGTATGATTATGAACATTTAACCTGGCTTTCACCCTTTGATATTTCAATCACAAGCTATTGAACTGTATACAGCACAGTAATGTATTCACTACTCAATGTTTGCAATATGTGAATAGCAGGGATGAACAGAAATAATGCATTGCTCTTCTGCGTCAGTGAACAAGAAAATAACCCAAAGGATCGACATGTCTCTAATCTAGACAACTCCTTGAACAGAACTACACAAAATACCTGCACTGGAGTTGTATAAATGTTCTTCCCAAACTATTGGAGTTGGCGTGTTCCATTCACACAATGTGGCTCCAAGGTGAGATGCAATCACGTGAACAGTTGCCTACAAGATGAGAAGATGCAAAATTTAAAGTGTAAGCATGCCTTCAAGTGTGTTTAATTCTATTAGCAGAGTTCATTCAAGGACAAATTGCAAAAATATAATTAATAACCCATTCCTTTACATTATATACATTCATAATGCTGAAAAGCAAAGCAGCAATTAAAACGTTGACATAAAATTATGGCACCCACAAATTTAAATAAAAAAAAGAAGGCAAGACTGAGAGATTGTAACTTTATGAAACTAACTATGCAGCTGAACAAAATAAATCAAGACAAATATAAAAACAGAAATTAGGACCACCTACAGATTTTCCAACACCAGCTTGCCCAGTGATGACAAGAACATGATTCCTAGATGCACCCTGCACATTACGAGAGGGAAAAAAAAAAAAGAGAACTTACAACAATGAATTCATATTAAACAAATATAAAAAAATATCGATTAAGCTTAACCCTATCCTTCAGGATATTGTGAAAAAAATAACCAAGCACAAGAAGGAAAAATGAAAGTTACATAAAAAGAAATGAGACTTCAGAGTTTATATCAGTATTACAAACGTAATCAAAGATGTCTACCCATTAAATGAATCGTTGTTTCAAGTCAAACTGAACTTGGTGATAAGGAAAAGGAACTTTTACATTGTATATGAAAGTATAGACTAGAAAAGTTATAATAACCTTTGAATCTCTCAATCTTTCTTCAAACCACACCTTAACTTCTTCGACCTGCAATTACAAAGACAGAAATGGAAAAAGAAAAGGGATCAAGCTTGTGATCACATATTCATATTCGCAAAACGAAGCCAATTAACTCAACCTTTTTCTTGTGAACAGCAAGGTCCACAAAAGAACGGGGTTTGTATTTATCCACCCATAACTCCTTCACGTTGCTTCTTCCAGAAGCTGATTCATGTTTCCACTTCCATTTAGCTTAAATGCTCATGTTAAACAAATGAAATAAGGGAAAAGAAAAAGCGATATTTGGGTTCAAAGGAACCTTGAATTGCATAAATTTAAGACAATATTCTATAAACTGATTATCCTTTGCAAGAATTAGCAATATAATCTGCAGACTGCAGCCATTTTCATTGCATTAGTTGTAACTTTCCTAGCACACAATTCAATGTCGAGTCAATTCATGTTTCCCTCTAAAAGTAAAGTAGAACACTATATAATTGATTTAACAATAACAATCAACATATCTCATATTCACGGATAAACAGAGATCAAATGGAAGTAACGAACCACACTGACAAAAATTAACAACAGTTACAGCAATGGCGTACCAGCAGAGACCTTGAACCCATCGTCAAAATCTTCACAAAACAATTTAACCTGCGTTACAGTAATCTCCGCATTAGATTTCAAACACCTCATTCCATTCTATAAAAACCCATTTAGCTTAAATTTTGAAATTTCACAGATTACCTCATCCCAATTGCTCGGTGCCGTGCCCAAGCTAGAGCGAGAACCCGAAACCCGAGCCCTTTTGGATCGCCTAGGGTTTGTTCGCGGAACCGAAGAGCTCGATTTCGATTGCGTTTTTCTGCGATTCGCGCTCGATGAACGATCGACGTCTTCGTTGTCCGATGACAACACCACCACAGTGTTCCTCTTCCCCATAACAGAGACACAGAAGAGAAGGTAATTTCCTAGGGTTTTGCACGGACATTGGTCCCTCTAGCTCGAAGCTCCATAGCTCGAGATGTTGCAAAACCCTAAATCGCTGAAGGAAGAAGCATTCGGAGTGTCTCAGAGCCTAAACGCACCGTCTCGAGTGAAAGGAAGGTTTTTATGTGGCGGGATCGAAAATTCGCGGGGCTTTTTGTGAGTTTTGTACTGTGAATTGAAATCGAGAAGGCGTAGACGAGAAGCCAATGGGGATAATGT